CGAACTATAGAATTCTCAATGTATCAAATTCCAACATATCTGATCCTCCCATAAAGATAACCAATTCTAGTTTTTAGGCTACCACAACTTCTCACTCCCGAACCACTACGGGAGATTTGTAAACGCCACTGCCATGTAGCTGAAACAGAAATTCACAAATTGAGGAATCAGAGGTATGACAAAGCTTCATTCCAATTGTCAAAAATTCAAACAAGTATTCAACTATTGCAAAGTATACAAAAGAAATTTAGTGGACAATCAGTCAAGCGAACAAGGGCTTTGGTCTAGTGGTTGTATCACTATTCTTAAACCTGGAGGTTACAGATACGAGTCCCTTAAATTTAAATATCATCTAACTATAAAACCAAACCTATATCATTTTACTACTGTTTGCAATCATCGACAACCAGCGATTTTAGCGCGGTGACCATATCTAACCGCCCGTCCTGAAATTTTATCAATCAACGCCTAAATATTAAAAAAAATCTATATCACCCTTATAAAAAATGAAATTTAATCAAACCTTGTGCAGTTTCCCTTCCTTGTATCATTTTACTACTATTCTCAATCATCAACAAACAACAATTCCAGTGCGGTGACCACATCCAACCGTCCGTCTTGAAATTTTATCACTCGCCGAGTCAGTTTTGTGATCAATATTCAGTTTATAGCTTTATGAAATTTGCCGTGCACATTTTACAAGGGATGATTGACATCCTGACCAAGAATTCTTCTTTTCTATGGCTACTTTAGAACAAGAAGAGCTTAACTCATGACTATCTGAAAAGGAGCCGCTAGAGCATTGGAAGTAAATGTTATCATGGTTTGAAGGGAGAAGAAACTAATGATAATCTTCTTATTCATTGCTTATATAACATAAAAGTTTGGTGACAAGTGTAGCATGTGGTCTCTATTAAAATGCCCCAACAAGCCGACATTGCTGCAATTATTAAAGATTATCCAAACTACACTCCAACCAGCCCTTTAGTTTGGCTTGCTCATCGCTCAATTCAAGTTGTTTATTTGTTCATTTTGTTGATTGCAATCACATGATATTTTGTGATAAATTACAACCCTAAATAGTGTTGTGAAAAAACTTGCAGGGATCTTATTGAATGGTTGTGTGCAACAGAATATATCAATAAGCCACAAGCAGAGGTCTGGTTACAACACTCCTAACTCATTTCATTATCCCGGTGCTTAACGATATGTCACAACATTGTAGCATGTTGTTTTTGTTGGGAGTTTTCTATGAGTTCTTTCACAGTAGGACAAGGGTGTTTTGATTCACCAAGTCCTATTTCATTGTGTTATTCCCATAATCTCTTGTTTCCCTTCATCATTTTCTTCTCTTTCTTATTATGTGGTTATTTCCCGCCTTGATGTGTTTGTTGCTAGGTTCAAAGCATTTGAATCAGCTTTTTCTCGTTTCGGAGAGTCCTCCTTATGCTTGTACCCTCTTTAATTTATTCTTTTAATAATTTTATTCAATGCCCATTATAAAAAAAGACTTTGGATGCATGACCATTTTTTAAGGATCACTTAATGATTGTTTTCAATATGGAAGATAGCAAGAATTTTATTTTATTTGCATAAATTTCAATTCAATTTTTTGTTAGAGGGATTGGAACCAAGAAACATCCTTCTCTTGTGGTCTTCCATTTAGGTGGCTATTGTTTCTTTCCTTGTTTAATTAGCTTAGTTAACCAATCAAAATTGAATCTATCTATCTATATCTATCTATCTATACTATATATTATGGCAATTCAAAATAAATCTATTGCCACATAAGCACTTGGAGGATGCACAAGTTGCCAAGTTGGACAACTTTTTTACAAACAAAAAAATTAATTATTAATGTATTTATGGAGCTATCTCTCTCTTCTTTAATATTTCCATTTTTTTTATCTTTTTTTTTTTGCTTTAATAATAGGTTACATGTTGATAAACTTAACCAAACACACAATTTTTTTATCTTTTTGTTGCAATAAAACACTCTCTTATTCGTAAATTATATGCTATAAAATAAAACAAGTATATATTATTTAGCAAAATGTCAGAGTATAATATTGATTGAGTAATTATAGTTATTTACTTAAAAAATACTTCTTATTCCTCGGATCATGTTCTACCTTAAACTCCTCAAATGAAGAGAAATCGCATGTGCAATAATTTTATAATGTGTGCTAAGTTCATATTAATAATATTTGTTCTATATCATGTTGATTGAGCAAGCTCTATTGAGGTTCTAAGTCGTATGCTAAGAAATTTTCTTTCAGACATGGAGTTATCGTCAACGATTATAAATCAAAATTTTCAAAATGACTTAAGTATGATTGTTGACGAACTTTGACTTCATACCCTAGGATGAGACACAAGATTCCTTGAAAATAACATAAAGGAAGGTTAGAGAATCTTTGTTGAGAATCTACGATAAACATCGCGTTTCATCAGCTACTAACCTAGACATTTACCATATAATGGTTGACAATTTTTAGTAAGATAGTCAATTGGGATAAACATATTTATCCACCAATCAAGTATCTTTATCCAGTAATCTCAACTCTCAAAATTGGTTGCCAGTTCGTCCAAACTCGAGAAACACGAATTGATATATGTTGTATAGATAATAAGTTAATGCAAATAATCAAATGAAATCCACCGATATTGTTCAAATGATAAGACATTTTAAATGCACTTGAAATATGTGTGTATTGTAGACGCTCTTTATTAAATATTAATATATAAGTTATAAAATCTTTGAAAATTACACATTCAACGACCATATTAAGACCAAAATCCTCGATAGTGTGTGCGAGTGTCTTAGATTGAGTTTCTAAGCCAATATATAATCAATGACCACGGGTTGAACTTCAAAAATTAACAATTGATACATATTGTATAATATACTAAATTTAAGTGTCTTCATAGAAAAAAAAAACTAACATCCAAAATGGAAATGAGTTGAGATTATAGAATTTAATCATCACGAGGGCTACGGTGTGTGTCAAGTTTCAATATGGATGAGTAAATTGATCCAATAGTGAAGTATCTTTACTAAGATTTCTCACTAAAAAGTCCTAATCTTTACAACATTGGTCGAGAGTTCGTCCAAACTTGAGGATCATGAATGTGTATTGGATTTCCAAAGGACCTAAAATCCCAACCCTTTTCGGGGGCTAAATACCTCTGATCACAAATAGGTGCCAAAGAAGAATGAAAAGAAGCCCAAAAAAATAAAAAAAGAACATAACCTCTGATACGATGAACAGAATAAAACCATATCGAGCTATGATCCTGTCATCCCTACCCTTTTATTCGCCATAAAGAGGGTGGCGGGAGAGGATAAGAAATAAATAGCAGGTTCTTAGAATTTGCCTCTTTATATATTACATATGAAACGATAGACAATCCCAATGGTTGTCTGACGTTATGGGGTATAAGCGGGATCTCTATCCCGAGGGTGGGGGATAGGCAAGTAGCACTTTTAATACGAGTATGAGGCAAAACAAGATAGGTCTGGCAAAGTATCTGGATAATTTTGAGTCTACTATATATATATATATACACTCATACACATATATATAACATCAAGGCATACTATTTTTTGATTTTACTCAAGATACGATAGAAGATATGTATGACAAAGTATTTGCATAAATTAGAGATTAGAGAATTATGGATTAGAGTTCACCTATTAGAGGTTAGGGTATAGTATCATGCTCCAAAAAACTCCGGAGTCTAAATAGTAAAAATCAATGGTCGTATGGTAGTGTGAACGCAAGAGTATAGCGTACTCCTGGTGCACGCTAGCTTGAACTATATATGTGTGGGGGGGTGTTCAGGTTGGGGTACGCTAAATATTAGTGTTTTGGTTGACAAATTTTGACATAAGTTTTAAATGGGACGTGACAGAGACATAATTTATGATTAGAAAACCGAAACATCAGAAATGAGTGTGCTAAATATTGGAAATTTTCAATATAGACATACTACAAACTCTTTTGTGAATTAAGAACAAAAAATATTTAGAAGATCGAAAATGATTTAAACATATGAATAAGTTAATTAATATAAATTATAAAATAAATCTCTCCGGCCAACGGGCCGGGTAAAAAGCTAGTTAAATAGATAGGACTTCAAAGTTAAATAGTAGCATACCTAAAGGTCCTCGTAGAATACAACTTTGTCCTCCTATACTATGTCATTTAAGTGGGGTTAGCTTGCCTTGGTTAGACCTAGTTGTAATAACTTGAGTAACCACAACCGTCAACCTAGAAGACCAAACCCCAATCCCAAACTCTGAGTATGTCTCCTCCTCAGGACCTAAAGCAGGATTCGAGCACCATCGAATGAAGAAGCTACCTTCATTATCTCCCTAGTCCTTTAGACACCCTCACCATCGAAGGAGAAGAACCCAACATAAGGATATTGAGTATAACAAAAAAAACAAACAATCAAAAAAAGAAGAAAGGAAGAGGCAGTTTGCTTAATCATGACTGAACTAGTTGGTAGGTCAATAATTGGTGGTTTTTAACCAAAAGCTAATCGATACCCCAGACAATAACCAACGGTTACCATTGATACTAGCGGTTCAAGTATCAATATAGACTTTTTAACCTAGTGGTTAACCACTAACCACCACCAAACTGATTAGCACCCTACATGCTGGCGACTTACCCCAAAGATAGTTATGTATTAACTATACTAATAGGATAACAATCGAATGCATACTAATAGGATAAAAACTAATCCTACTATGAGTTTCCACCATAGAAAATTATCTACTAAAGAACAAAAACTAAATATAGAACTAGGTCATTCTCTTTTCTCGCAAATCAACAAAATTAAGTCCTAAATATATCACCATGAGCAGCATATATATACATACAACACCGAGCCTCAATTTTTGATCATCCCTTTCCCAAGTTATTTAACATTTTTGCAAAGTTTTCTAAATAAATAAAAGACGCAAAATTGAAAAAGGGAGGAAAATGGCAATGGTGCCTAGCAATAGAAACTGTATTTCTCTCATTCTAATTATCTCCATTGAAACTCTTACACTCTCATCGTTTTCCGTTGCCCAAGACAAGCCAGAGGACTTTCTCGCGGCCCACAACAAGGTCAGAGCCGCAGACGGTGTTGGCCCTTTAAAATGGAGCCCTACATTGGCACTTTACGCAAGCTCATATGCTAATGAACTTGCAGCAGGGGGATGCAACAACATCCATCATTCCGACGGGCCTTTTGGGGAGAATTTGGCCTATAGCGAAGGTGATCTTTCTGGGGTCAAGGCGGTGGAGCTATGGGCTGACGAGAAGGCAAATTACGACTACAAATCCAATACTTGTGCTGCCGGAAAAATTTGTGGCCATTACACTCAGGTGGTGTGGAAAGACACGCTTGAGGTCGGGTGCGCGAAGGTAAAGTGCCCCGGTGGTGGTACTTTGATTAGTTGCAATTATGATCCTACAGGAAATTACGAAGGCGAGAGGCCCTTTTAAACAAAAAGAATGTGATATATATATTTCTAACGTTGCAAATATGTTATTGTCTTACAATAATTAATTTTAACCGATATATTGATTAATTATTACAATATTCTAATAATTGGTTGAGTCATAACCTGTTATAGCATTTATTGGTCAATACTTTTGTACCGAAGTATATGAGTATACCTTTTCTAACCAGACTTACCACTTCAACTAGTCCAGATAACCACCAAATAGCTCCATTGGAAATGGTTTGGTAGTTTAGTGCAATTGTTTATATCAAGTAATTGCCCACCTGAGTCTTGGGGTTTCCCCTACATACGCCTCTTCGAATACCACCAACACATGCTAACATGAGCATCGTGGGTTTCGAGACCATCAATTTATTTTGACAATAAAGTCATTTGTGGTTTCTTTAGAGACATAAAGATCATTAGTCCCCTAATTCTCTCTCTAGAACCTTACATACTTTATTTGTTTTTTTTTTACAATCAAGTATGTAAGCCTTGGGGTTTCACCTGCATAGGCCTCTATGATAAAAACCATATTCATTCAACCAATGCAAGGTGTACGGACGTGGATGTTTAAGTGTCTTCAGCTCGGCCTTCGACACCATATGCAAACTAACGACGTTAGTACAACTTTCTCAATTGATGACCAACCAACATAGCCTTAAATTGACCAAGCAGCGAGTACGAAACAAATTCTCTCTCTTCTCATTCTCTTCCCTTTGTTGCACACTCAAAAGCCTTCTAGCCACGTATGAAAATTTTCCTTGCACTAACCGCAGTTCGACTTCCTCTTCTTCATCTGCAATATTGACCTCCCCTTCTTCTGGCTCGGATTCATACTCTCCATCAAGATCATAGTCCTCTTGTTTCGACATTGATTAGACAGATGACCACGACCTTGGCATCGGAAAAAATAATGGATTTCGAGACTGTATTATTAGCTACCTTGTCTCCATTGTTTGAGGAGTTTTCATATGGTGCAGGCTTAGGACCTTCTTGTAAACCCTCTCTTTTAATGCTTCTTGACCTTTGCCGCTAGATGCAAAAATTACTCAATTTGACGTAACGGTGAATCTCTACGACTTGCTTGATGTCTTAATTGAGACCATTCAGAAACCTGCAGGCCATTGTCTCTTCCTTATCTTCATTGACGTGAGATCGAATCATGAGTGTCTCCATCTCTTTGAAATAATCCTCCATACTCTTCTTCTCTATATTGGGGAGCTCTTCCTCTTCGTAATGCTCCCCAAAGTCTCGGGGTTCTAGAGGTTTTCGAGCACGGCCTCCTCGACCTTGAGCTCTTCCTCCTCTTCCTCACAAATCTTCATCTTCAGGGTTCCTCAACGCTCGATACTGACCATCATCATCTCCTATGACCAGATCTTCAGCTTGACCCACCATATTCTAGACTCTATTTTTTCCCTAAACATGATGTATCTTTAATCAATTTTTTATGTTTTACTTCTAATAGATCATATGTCAGCTCTAATCAAACTATAATTATGTGAGAGCCTCCATTCACTAATAATTAACTTCATTTATCATGCCATATTTTTTTCTTGAGATTTAGCGGGGGAAAATAATAATAATAATAATATAATAAGCATTATTATTCTCATAAAATGCATAATTGCATGACTCGACCTGACTAGCCAAGCCATAACCCTAAACGAAATACCAAAATCCAAATACCACTTACGAATAGGATGGGTATGGTGATCCGATGTACCACCCCCCGACCTCACCATTGTCATCCTCTTACAATTTCAACATTGAAATACCAAAACAAACAACATGCATGCATGCATGCGATAATATAAAAATTTGCTGGCCCGACCGACCGAGCGACGACAACTAAACTGCAATAGCATAAGGTCTCTGGCCAATCCAATTGCCGGGAGGATTGTAGTTGCAGATGACGAAAGTGCCCCGGCCGCCGCTACAAGTCGCCTTGGCGCAGCCGATGGTGGTGGTGCTCCGCCACACGATCTGGGTGTAATGGCCGCAGTCCCTTCCCGGGGCGCAGGTGTTGGAGTTGTAGTCGTAATCCACCCACTCCGACCCCCACATCCTGACCGCGTCGATCCCGGTCAGCTGCCCGCTCCCCCACGCGATGTTCTCGCCGTAAGGCCCGTCGGAGTGGACGAGGCTGCAGTCGGCGGCGGCCCTCTGGTTGGCGTAGGACTGGGCGTAGGCTGCCACCCTGCCGTCCCACGTCACGGGGCCGACACCGACCGCGGCGCGGGCCCCGTTGTGGGCGTTGAGGTAGTCCTGAGGGGCGTCCTGCGCCGCTGTGGGTAAGGCTAGTAGTAGTAGTGTTCCCATCAATGTAATTGCGACGGCGAGGAGGTGAAAGGAAGGCGCCATTGTCAGTCTTAATTTTGATTTCTTGGGGATGTGAATGAATGATGGAAATGGTTAAGATAGGGCTTTTTGTATAGGAAGGAGTGTCGTTACGTACATGAGAGTGTTTGTTGATCATGATGAAGGTGTCTTTTTTTGAATGTGCGTTTTGTTTCGCTCCCGGCGGCTTTTTGTTTCTTATTGTTTCTTTGTCCAAGTGGCTGACAAAATTTGGTCGCAAAAAATAAGCAAGTGTATAGATAGTTTTACTATTCAAAACCAAGTGTTTGGCAAATCAGCCATCGGAAAATTTGGCATTAAAGTCGAATAGAGAGGAGACAAAAAGAAGGTGGCCAACTTTTATATAAAGTTTCGTGGTTAGAGAATTGGCCTGTGGGAAGGATAAGTGACGACGGTGCGTAGAAGCTAATATAATCTAAGAGGATGGTGGGGATGGGATCCTGAATATTCCGACTTATATTTGCATCTATGTAATATGTTAAGATCAATCATTGAAAAACCGTATCAACTTTAAACCTCCATATATATCAGCCTGATGCAATATGAATAGATATTCTAATTCATAGTTGGGCGGCACCAAATATGGCTCTCCTTTCCAGGCTAGTTCATCCAACTATGACTTAAAAACGTGTTTTGGGTAAATTTTAAACTGATTTGTTATTGCTATCTTTGAGGCAACATGGTGTATCTGTTGGGGAAGAAATCCTTGTGAAGCTGGACGCCAAAGGATCAAAGTGCAAAAGAGATTGTTTTATTGGATACTGCGTCGTTTTAGTCTGAGTCGAGCCAGTCTATTGTGTTGTTTGATTTAGTTCACAGTTAGTCTGCTGGTTTTTGTTTTGTTACATTTTGGTCCTGAGTAGTGGTTTGGGTAGTAGAGAGCGTTCAGCTCGTTTAGTAAGACTGTAAGACAGTTGATCATGGGAGCTGGAAATTAGTCTATTGTGTTGTTTGATTTTTTTTCGTTGAATCAGTTCCCATTTTATTATCAAAACAAGAAAGTGCAAAATGCACGCTGGTGTTATTTGATTTAGTTCACAGTTAGTCTTGTTGGTTTTTGTTTTGTTACATTACGGTCCTGAGTAGTGGTTTGGGTTGTTGAGAGCGTTCAGCTCGTATAATAGGCTATATTTATTTGTAAATTTTAAATTTTTTGAAAATAAAAATCATATTGACATGCTCTTTAAAATTTTATTCACTTTTATGAAAATGAAAATATTTATCACTGTGTACCATGTTGGTAAAGATTCATGTACTAAGATTGTATTATGGTGTTATGAAATTGTATCATGGGGATATTAATATATTATAGTGTAGAATGTTGTACACGTGAAAGTAAGGATATACTAACCACCATCTACCACCTTACAACACCGTCTATCATCATCTACCGCACTGGTATAGGGTGATAAAAGTTGGTATATTTTATACCAATTTTTTTAAAAAAATATTAAATTCTATAAATCATGTTAAACAAGTTTCATTTGTGCAAAAAAAAATCAAATATTTAAAAGCAAAGATGGTACAGGGAGGTAAAGAATAGTACCGAGCAGTAAAAAAAAATTCCTTGAAATATATCAAAACGTTAATATCATTTTGTAGATCACTGATTTGCTATGGTATAGAATCAAAATTTACTTGGTCGCTAACAAAGATCATATTTCATAAGGACTTTCAAATCTCACTGCTCAGAAAGTGACGATCTTGTTGTTTGAATAACTCTTTTGTAAGGTTGAAATGTCTTGTTTTTTATAAATATTTTAAAAAGCAAAGCAATAGAACTCTGAAGAAAATTAGTGAAAAACTTCCTAATGCAGATAGACTTCATCCGTACAGACCTATTGTCTTCATTAATGGAATCTATAATTGTTGCTGAGGTCTTAGCTATTAGGCTCAGAACAGTCCTGCCTTCAATCATTAGTAGGAACCAATCTGCTTTCATTCATAGTAGAAAGCATCCTTGAAATTTTAATGGCCCGGGAGATTGTCCAAAATTATAATATAAAGCAAATTTATTCACGATGTGATGTGAAGGTGGGTTTAAAAAAGTCCTTTGATTTGGTGAATTGGGAATATCTTAACTGTGTGATGATAAATATGGGTTTCTCTTAGCTTTTCCTAAATTGAATTCTTGTGTATTTAGAATCTGCATTCTTCAGTGTCTCGATCCATGGCAGTCTATTTGGGTTCTTTAGGAAAGCAAAAGGTGTTAGGCAAGGGGATCCTTTATCTCCTTACCTAGTTACTATCGCTATGGTCCATGGAACCACAGACAGGACTGCTAAATCAAGCAACAACAAATTTAGTCCCTTACCATCATCAATGCAAGCAGCTGGAGCTTACACACTTATGCTTCATGGATAATCTTCTTATATCCACAAAAAGCTGAAAAAAAGGTTTGATATGGGATGAGGAGTGTATTGAATGTTTTTAATCGGGTCTTTGGTTCGCAATGTAATCCATGTAATTGTGAAGTGTTCTTTAGAGGAATGGCTCATCAATTTAAGCATATTGCTCTACAATCCTCTAGCTTTCATGACGGGCATCTTGTTGTGTGGTATTTGAGACTTCCTTTGATCTTTGGTAAATTATGTATCGTTACATGCTTAGAGGGGCCTCTATATATCCTGGGGAACGTTCTGCCCGCGTCTCGCTTCTCTTTGCTTTGTTCCTTTGTTTTCAGAACCGGACCGGAGGCTGAACCGAAAAGATAGTGGATTAGGGTATAATGGTTAACTGTTACAAAACCGTTGGTAAACCGTTGATAGAACTGTTCATGATATATAACATACAAGACTTGTATATTACACTAATTTAAGAATGAAGTTATCATTGATCATAAACAATTTTAAATTCATATCATCACCAAAATATCTAATAAATCATTGAAACTGTCTCACAGAAGAAATCATAAGTTTTTAATTCAAGTTAAAAATTATGGTGCCAGTTGGTAGTGGATCACGTAAAAATGACAACAAGGTTGAAAAATGAGAAGACGTATATAAAATAAATAATCATGGCTTGATGGTTTTAGTTTACGTTAAAATATTTTTTAAAAATATTGTGCTTCAAATAGTTAACTAATGGACTAGTTAAACTGCGGTGGTTCATTCGGTTTTATGTTGAACCGTGAAAAATTGTTTGGTCCATCAATAACCGTCCAAGCAATGAACCGGAACTCTATCATAACTGGTTTGACGGTTCTACTGTCCCAACCGTTAATCTGGTTCGGTTCTTATAACAATATTTTTTTATGTCGTCGTATTCCTTCCCTGGGGAGCTCCTCCAAAACCATCACATCTTTCATCAGGATAACTCACCTCACCAGCTTGTCAAGATCGATCCAAAATCGGAAGTTGTGTTTCGTCTTTAGAAGTGAGCGTTTCACCTCCTTAGTGTGGGTTTACATTCTCAAGTTTCAAAAGGTCATGGCGGGAGTGACGCCTTCCGGGAGCAAGGTGTACCAAGTACGGCCCTGCCCTCCGAACGTAGCAGGAAACACCCTTCACATTTCTACATCCGATGCGTTTATTAGCTACATTTTGAGGACGAAGGGGCTGAGATGATCCGATGAGCCAGTTGTGCCATCATACGCCGGTAGTCCCAACGAGGAGAAGTTTTGCGGCATCGGGCTTTTGAAGATACTCCTATTGAGCGGATTGTACAATATACTGTGGCTCTTGTTGGGATAATATGAGGGCACTAAGTGCATCTTTAGTACCCAAGGTCCGGCTCTGTATCGTGCTTTTCTTTTTCTTCTTCTGGATCATCGCACTCGTCTATGATTATGGCAATGCAATCAAAATTGTGATTCTACGTAGAAGCATTTTGGTGACAAGAAGCGTAAAAACATAAGTTTTTAGCTTTAAAGCGTAGATTTTGACTACAATTGTAAGTGAAAAGTGTGATTTTACGTAGAAGCGCTTTGGTGACTTAGAAGTGTAAAAGCATCAAATTTTAAGTTTTAAAGGGTGATTTTGACTCCAGTGCTGATTGGGGCCTTTTCTTTCTCATTGGGATTTTGGCCAGGATCTATGATTTCTTCCGTTTGTGCTCTTGGCGAGTTATATGTCCTATTGAGTATAGTCAAGATTTGTGTCAAGCTTTCTTGCATACTGAAAATCTGTTGTCCATTATTTTTACTTGAACTTCTAGTTTCACTTCGTCGTCTACCAGAGGTGCAATGTTGTCGACTGCTCCCCTGCGTGCTGCTTTGTCGTCGATAATATTGTTCCACGGGGTTCAAGAAGTTTCTTCCATGAAAGTAGGTTACTGCGAACTCAATCGTGACCCCACAGTGGCGCCAAATTGTTTAGTTTCCAAATTACTTGGAGATTAAACATTGAGGGTGTGATCACGTTCGTAATGCGTCCTCATACTCCCAAGGAGTTTGGACTTCTTCGATCCTGCACAAGTGATCCTCGGACGGGTACGCACAAGACACTCTTCAAAGGTTAAGTTAGAGAGAAATATTTGAGTTTTGTTTAGAGACGAGAGGGTAGTTGAACATAACATTAATGAGAGTCGAGCCTTTGTTTATACTTACGTTTTAGTGGCAGAGCGCGTTTAATGTCGTGTCAGGCGTCCATTTTACCTCAAGCAATCGTAGACTAGAGCGTCTCTATGAGCAATAAATGCTAGTCTCGGATTTCGTAGTGAGCACTAGACCCAAGACGACATTGGGAATGCTCCTAACACTGGTGTTGCTTCAAATACCGCATTGGGAACAGTCTCAGTAAGTAGCTAGGGGTAGAAATCGGTATGTTATCGGTATCCCAATACCAAATACCAAAATCCCGAATACCGAATTACACCCTGAAATCAATACCAATCCCAATCCCTAAATAATTTCAGTATCCCAATCCCTAAATATTTCGGTATCCCAATCGGTACCTGGGTATCCCAACCAGTATTATCAAATAAAAAATTAATTACCTTTGAAATTAATAATTTAATATATAAATTAGATTTTATTGTTTAATTTAGGGCAAAGAGACCAAGCA